AGTCCCCAGTCCCCGGCCAGCTCCCAGCTCCACCTTGGGCCAGGTCTTATGCACCTACTGTGTGCCAGGCACCGTGCAGGGCAAGGGAGACGCAGAGATGAGTTGAGTGCCCGTTCTCGCCTTCTGTCAGCACAACACCTACGCGGAAGAGACAGGAATGAAAACCACAATGAAGCAAAGGCTTCCAGAAGCTGGCCCTGGGGTGGCATGAGGCTCCTCTAATCGCAGCCACTCCACCCTGCAAGATGGGTGCTGTTTACACCCCTTTCTCAGATGAGAAAACCCAAGTTCAATGAAGTTCAACCAAATTCAATGAGGTTCGACAGGGACCAGCAGTGGGTGCCGCCCGTAATCCAACATCTCATTGCCACCCACGGCCACCCTCTGGGAAGGCAGGGCCATCACCCCGTTCACAGACAAGGCTCAGCCGGGAACCTGGGCCCCCTACCCAGGTCTCAGTGCTGGGTGGTCCCAGGCGAGCCTCGCTGTCCAGGGCCGCCAAAGGCAGAGGGCAGAGACAGAGATGTCCCTATGTCCCCTCCAGTTTCCCAGAGCAAATCAACATCAGATTGGAGAATCCGACTGTGGGGCGTTCGGATAATGAAGCTGTAGGCTTAGATACACTGGGCAGGATGCACCAGCTAGAGTTTGGAAAGGCGGGCAAAATCCAGCTGGGAGGTCTCCAGTGAGTGCGATGTCCGTGGCAACGGCCCGCCTAAGCTCCCCAGCCCCAATCCTCATCTGTCAACTGGGGGCTGCTATGCCTTCCCCTCCCCCCCACACACACCTGGGGGCACCAGAAGGCAGCGCAGTGCCCCATGCCTGTAGGCGGGAGGCGGCCAGTCCCACTGGGGGAGCCAGGGCTTACTCACACTGCTCCTCGGGGACCCAGGAGCTGTCACAACACCTCAGCCACTTGCCACCACCTCCCCGTGAATCCAGATAGAAGCTGTAATCAGCCTGGCATCCCTCCCGCTGCCAGGCGGGCCTGAGAGCCACTGCACAGTAGTATTTATTCCATGGGACGGATGTACCAGTGTCATTATCGTCACTCACCAAGGAACAACTGGGTTGATTCCAGAGTTTGATGACTGTGAACAAAGCTGCTATAAACATCCACATACAGGCTTAGTGCAACCATAAGTTTTCATTTCTCTAAGGTAAATACTGAGTTATACGGTACCTCTCCATTTTGTTTTAGGAGAACGCGCCAAACTGCGTCCACAGCGGCGGCCCATTTGCATCCCCCACAATGCATGGGCATTCCGGTCTCTCTCCCCATCCTGCCAGCACCAGGCATGGTCAGTCTTCCAACCGGTCCCCCTGTCTTTTAACCCTCTCTCCCAGGCTGGCCATGCTGCCTGACTCAGTCTTTACTGGTTGTGTGACTTGGGCAGGTCTCCTCACTTCTCTGAGCCTCAGTTTTCCCCATCTGTGAAATGGAGCTATACTACTTCCCACCTCCTAGAGATTTAGCAGCAAAAAGAGAAGTTTGGTCAGAGCACACAGTGCAGCCCCTGCACATTTAAATGAAGAAACTGCAGTTAGTGAGGATGTGCTGTGAGGCAGGTATAGGATGGTGGCCCAGGGCCCCTGCCTGGGTGGGGGAGGGGGGGCAGGGGCTGATCTGTCAGCCATCAGTCAGAGCAAGTTACTTCTCTGAGCCCCGATGTTCTCATCTGTGAAATGGAAACCTTTACCTTTCCCCTAGGGCTGGGCTAAGGAGAAACAGCATGATGGACAGGAAACGCTTCAGGAAGGGCCAGCTTGCTGCAGAAGGCCTAACGGTTAAGAGCTTAACTGCTGAAGTCATACCTGAGTTCAAATCCTGTCCAGCACTTCTTAGCCGTGTGCCTGTAGGCAAGTCACTTAATCTCTCTGTGCCTCAGCACGCCCCCGCCCCCCACCTGTACTTGGGGAAATAAAGGGTCCTACCTTCAAGGGATGTTGTGAGAACACAGGCTATCGTTGTGAAGTACGTAGGGCAGTGTGTCTGGCCCCTGGAAAGTGCTCGATGGAGACGGGCACTCGGACACTCCGGCCCCGCCCTGGTTCCCCATGCAGCAGTGGCTCTGGGACGGAGGCCAGGGAGAATCAGGAGAAGGGCCTCACTAGCATTTGCTAACATCTCCCTCCGTTGGGCAAAGCCCCCAGACCTCAGTCCCATGACATGAGGCTGACTCTCGAGCCCCAGCCCCCAGGCCTGGGCTGTGTCAGTGACTCCAGCTCCTCTGCCCAATGTCCTCTCCCCAGCAACACACAAAGCTCCCGTCTGCCACCCAGGCCGGAGCCATAAATCAAAGATGGTGAGGCGTGGCAGTGCCAGCCTGCTGGGGCTGGGTGTGAAGGGGCTGCGTCTGACACTGGCATCACTCATAGGTGGGACCAGCTTTATCCACAGGCACTGCCACCAGGGACCTGGGCGGGTGGGACCCACTGCAGCCACCCGCCCCAGAGCCCAGCCCCAGCATGGAGCTCACCACCAACAAAGAAAGGGCCCTGGCACCGCCCAGGGAGAGTGAGAGCTTGAACTTGATCTCCAGGGAGTGGCCCCTGCACCTGCCTCTAGTTAACTTCTCGAGCAAAGAGTTCTGTCCCATCTTCACCTGCAGGACCGGGCGCTGCCTGGGGAGGTAGGTGAGCAGCTGCACCACTCCTGTATGCCCATCAGCCTTAGGCATGCCCACACCCAAGGCAACCCTTGAACTTCCCTACCCATTAAGGCCATCCTATGGTTTCATTTTAGGCCTGGCCCCACTTTAACCTAAGAGAGGACAGAGGGCACCTCCTTCCGATCCTCTGCCTCCACTCGGGCTGGACACTGGCTTGGGGCAGCCAGACCTGGCTTTGAATCCGGGGTCTGCTCTCCTACAGGCGCAGGGCTTTGGGCAAGTCGTGTAGCCCCAGTGTCGGCCCTGAGCAATGGGGATAATGGGAAGGCCCACCCTGCAGAAGTGCTGGCGGACAGAGGGCATGCCGTGCGGGCAATGCCTGCAGCAAGGCACCCTGCCCGCGACAGACAGGCCCACGCTCCTGCCTTCCCTCTCCCTTCACTCGGCCGCGCACAATGGAAAAAGCCTGCCTGGCAGGGCTGTCACGCTTCCTTTCCCAGATCCAGTCTGAAGGGCCCCAGGGCTCCCCCGGATGCCAGGCTTCCCCAGCACCAGAGGTAGGTGGGGAGGAGGGCTGCCCCTCCATCTACATGCTCACTTGGGGGGACCTGCTAAGCAAGAAGGGAGACTGTGGCGTGCAGCCCCCAGCCCTGAGTTCATGACCCTCTGCATTCTGCCCTTGGCCAGCTGCTTTGACCTCGATTCCCAATAAAGCTGGGAAGTCGCTCCTTTTAATAGCTGTTCCCACTTCTGAGCCACTGCTCAGCCAGGAGGCCCCTTCCTGCCCTCCAACCCCCCTCCCACCCCATCTTCCTTGTTTCTCCTCCCAGGGCCCTGCCCTTCCTCCTCTGGGCTCATGGGTCCATACTCCCGGTCATGTCACGGGCAGTTGGCCTCCTGAGATTTACTGAGCTGAAGGCAGGGCTGGTATTGTGCCCATCTGAGAGTGTCCCTGCTGCGCCTTGGCACACAGTAGGCACTTTGTCAGCACAGACAAACGAGACAGGCTAAGAGAAGTGGGTCTCACTGCCCACCCAGGACACTCAGGATCACACAAGGCCCAAGGGGGGCTCAGCTCCAAACACACAGGGCAGAAAGCTGAGGCGGAGGGGACGGGACCTGCCCCAGGCCACACATGAGCCAGTGGCAGAGGAGGGCAGGAAGGGGGCTTTGCAGTCAGGCAGGGCTGGGCTTCAATTTGCTACTGGGCAGGTGGCCTTGGGAAGGGCTCCCTAGGGTGCTGAGGACCCCAGGAGAGGGTGCAAACACCAGAGGGCCTGGCAGATGGGTGCCAGGACGTGGTGGGGTCAGAGGACTGGGTGAGAATTCTGGTGAAACCTTGCCCCACTGCCTCAGAAAGCTGAAGCCGGCGCTGGGAGGGGATTGCCAAGGGGCGGGGTGTCAACAGGGCCCGGGACAGTTCCGGGCACATGGGCTCAGCGTCTATTTGTGGTAAGTTAGTGAGATGGGAGTGGGGTTGAGAGGCCCCTGCTGGCCAAGGTCTGACTGGTAGCAGCCCATCCCCACCCCCCTGCCTCGTGTGCTTGACATCTGAGGCCAGGGGAGAACATCCCCAAAGAGCTCCCCGTGGCAGCAAGACAGAGGGGCCAGGACTGGGCAGAGGCCAAGCAAAGCCCCCAGAGGTGGAACCAGCAGGAAGGGAGGGCGCAGCGGTGGTGAAGGTGTCAGAGGCGGATGACAGAGCGGGGTGGGAGGGGCATCTACTTCAGGACTGGTAAACTTGGGTTCAAACCTCAATGCTTTATCTCAATTAGGCAGTAACCTCAGGAAAGTTTCTTAACCTCTCTGAGCCTCTATTTCCTCCTCGAGAAACCACACTGCTCCTTCTCAGCTCGCAGGGCAGTGACGAGGCACACGGAGCAGGCAGCGGAGGGCCCGGCACGGGCTATGTGCCAAGTGAAGGACAGCAATTAGTAAGGCTACCGGACGGCTGCCCAGGCCCTGCTCCTGCCGCAGAGCAGATGGGCTGGGGCATCATTCTGCCAGTCCTAGAGGACCTCTCCCCACCCCTGTCCCCGGAAGCTGGGTTTCCATAGAAACAGCTGGACTACGGAGCTGTCCCCATTGTGGAATCTGACTGGCAGGGGGAGGGGAAGGAGAGGAAGGGGCCTGGGCCTCAGAACACCCACCACCTGTGATTCAAAGCGGAGTCGATGCTGCCATGTCTGCCAGGAACCACTTCCTTGCAAACAAGAGCCCCTGCTGGCGGCGGGATGCACCTGTCCTCCCATCTGGTAAGGAGAACAGCCCCCTGGGCATCCACCCTGGGGCCGGAGGGGCTGAAAGTACTTCCAGACCAGGAACTCCCTGTAACCCCCACCACGCCCTCTGGGACTGGGGTACAATCACCCTCATTTCACAGGAATGAAGGCCAAAGTGTCTCCTGGGGTAAGTGGCAGAGTTGAAATTCAAACCAAATTAACTGGCCATCCTGAGAGGAGTTGGGGAGCACGTCTGTGGGAGTGGGAGCCTGACCTCCAAAAAGCACTAAGCTCTAAGCTATCATCCCATCTCCCTCTGAAAGTCCCTGGCGCGTCGCCAGCATCTGCACGCCTCCCTGGGGTCCAGCCTCCCTGCGTTAGTGAAGCCCTGGGACTCCTGCAGGACCTGGGAAGGGCTTCTGGGAGACCCATTGTTCTGTTATCACATCGTGCAAAATAGCTGGAAATGGGGTCTGGGACTGGCAGCATCAGGCAGTGGGAGGCGGTGAGAGATGCAGGCGCTGGCCAGAGAGAAAGGGAGGCACAGAGCCCAAGCCAGGGGGCCAGAGCCTCACCATTCACCCTGTGGTCCCTGTCTGGGGCAGCCCGTCACTCCTTTGGGCAAGATGGGGTTTAAAGACCCCCCCAGCCCAGAACCCACGACCTGGGCCCTCAGGCAGTGAATCTTGTGGGGTGGGGGGTGGGGCAAAGGGATCTGTGTTCACATCCTGGCTGGGTATTTGAACCTCTCCATTCCTTAATTCTAAATGGGGGTGACAATGCCCGACTTACTAGGTCGTAGGTGGGTTAGAGCTAAACTAGAAAGTTGCAGGACACAAGGGAGGCCGGATGGACACAGCTGCATAACCGACATCATCACAGTGGTGTCTGGGTGCAGGTTGAAAGCCAAGGCCAGGCTGGCATGAGGCAGGGCTCCCTTGCTGCATGTCCCCCGGAAAGCATAATTATTCTAAACTTTAGAATCTAAAGGCTGGGCCAGCCTTAGTCAGCCTGGTCTCTCAAGGAGCCGGTGAGCCATGCTGCATCATCCATCTCTGTCACGTCCCACCGTCACCACGGGCTCAGCTCAGGGTCCACGCTGCTGCAAAGGGCGAGGATGACAGAGTAGAAGTGGCAAGGGGAGGAGGGAGCATGATGCGAATCCTGCTGTGGCAACAAGCCCGGTTCCCACGACAAAGCTCCGTAGTCAAGAGAGGGATCCCACGCTCCATTTCCACGAGCCTCCAGGAGCGCGAGCTGGCAGCAGAGGGCTCCCACTGAAGCTGGAAGGCTGGAGGGGGAGACCAAGCCACTGGGCTGAGACAAGTTAGCTGGGGCCACCGGCAGATTCTGCCACAGGGCCAGACTCTGGGACTCAGTTTCCTCAGCTGAAAATATGGGAGTGTGGTCCCTAGGGCCCCCCCGGGCTGTGACATTCAGGATCTGGCTTCCAAACCCTGCCATCCACTAGCCACACTCCAGCTGCCGGCCTCCAGGTCCCGCCACTAGTTCTCTTGTTTTGAAGGTGCCTCAACTCCAGAAAGGCAGAGGAAAGCCCGAGCTCCCATCACAAACAAGTATCTGCAAAGCTTCAGGGGCAGAAAGTAAACATCGCCGGCTGAGCTGCAGAGGGGAGAGGGGGGCAGGGCAGAAGGCCCAGCGGGCACATCCCTGGGGGCCTTGACCTGGGGTCTGGAGCTGCTGCTGTGTGCAGGGGGGCGGGGTCTCGCTGTCTGTCACCACTCAGAAGTCACTAAGAGGGTTTTTCCCTGGTCCTGCTGCCACTCACAAAGGGCAGACAGGGCACATGGAGAATTCCTGTCCTTTCCAGGGACCAAGTCAGGACCCTCAGAGGCAGCTGGTGCTTCAGGATCCCACGGGGCCGAGGTCACTGGGAGAGCCTGGTTCCCGGATTCCCTGCAGCCAGTGCTCCTCTGAGAAGGCGGTGGACACATCCTTCCCGCCTCCCACCCCTCCCACCTCCCCCATCCCTCCCCACCACTAGCTACTCAGGAACTCAGAGAGGGAGGAGGGGAGGAGGGACATTTCCTTGAAGGGAGGCTGCACCATTTGAGTGAACTTTTTCAGAAGCAAATGCCTTCTGGGGAGTTGGAGGAGGCAGGCAGAAGGGTCCCTATACTTTTCCCAGGATGCTGATGGGCAGGAACCACGATCCAGGACTGACATCTCCCCCGGGGTTTGGGGCCCTGGCTTAGTAATTAAAAGAGGCGGTCACAACTAAAAAGGTCTGTGCTTATCACTTACTAGAGGCCTGGTGCACGAATTCGTGCATGGGTGGGGTCCGGCCAGCCCACCCCAATTGAGGCCATCAGGGGGAGGGGCTGCAGGAGGTTGGCCGGTCACCCCTGCCCCTGATCAGGCTGGTTGGCCAGCCACAGTGTGTGTCATAGCGACTGTCGTTCCCGTCATTCCAGTTGTTCAGGTCGCTTGGCTTTTATATATATATAGATTAGCTGCATGGCCTTGGGCCAGGGACACCACCTCTCTGAGCCTCAGTTTCTCATCTGTTAAGCAGGTGTAATAATGACACCTGTGAAAAAATACACAGGAAACACCTAGAAAAGCACACTACCTGTTTCGTAGTGAACGCTCAATAGTAATGTTGCTGTTGTTACTCTCAGACTAGGAGACTCAGTCCCTTGCTTCAGATTTCCCCTTGACCTTACCATAAGCTTCAGGACAGGCACCCTCCAGGGACTCCATCATCATTAACTACAGAGTGGGGCACTTACAAGGGCGTGGCCATGGGAAGGAAATGGGAAGAGAGAGAACCCTGGGTCA